TGCTTGTACATAATTCCCTCTTTGCGGCCAGTTAGCTGAAGAGCCTGGGGAGAAAGTTTCAAAGGTTCAAAATAAAATCGTTTCGTGGAAACTTAGCCCACAGCCTGCAAACGTGGGTGCTGTGCCCTCCATGTCCCACGCACATGGCTGCCTCTCTTTGCCCCAAACAGCTGAGAGAGGCCTGAGCAGGTGTGGTGGGGCAGGCCCAAGGCCGAGCCATGCGGGGGCTGACTCTGCCCCAAGGAACTGCGCTGGCCGGATCTGAGACCCTCCCTGCCATCCCCTGCAATCAGGTTCACCCTGGGCTGGGGGCTGCAGGGGTCAGAGGTCAGACTAAAGGGGCAGTCACCAATGCAAGAAGGCGACCCCCACAGGAAACAGGGGAGGTAGGGCTTGAATTACTGCCTTTTAAACAAACAATCTGGTACAAATGCAATTTTATTATTTCCAAGCACATGGAAGCATTTATGACATAATTTAGAAAACCCAATGTGTTAAATTTACCATGTGCTCTCGAGAGGTACCATGGGCGGTAAGGAAGGAGAGGGCCCCTCCTGGGAGGAGGCAGGGTAAAACCCGCATTTGAAGCGGATGACTGTGTGGATCTCCTTGCTCTTCAGGTGGCTGCGAGCGAAACCAGCGGCGTGGCTGTGAGCTCCACAGCCGCCCCAAGGAGGCAGCGGCCTGCGGGCGGCGCGCGCACATCCGGCGAGCACCTGCCCAGGGCGAACGCAAGCAGAAAAGCCCAGCAACGGGTCGCTTAGGTAAAGGTGTTTTGATGGTCCTCGAAGGGACCAGAAGCCACTTCTCTGGGCCTTTGCCGAGCCGGGGGGACACAGGCTAGGCGATCACCAGGGCTGCCCCGGCCGCGCTCCCGCCCCCACACTTGATCTCCAGAGTCACTCGCCTTCTCTGGGGCCAACAGTACAGGCTCTTCTGCGCTCTAAGTGGGCGTCATTATCAGCTCTTAGCAAAGATGGGACAGGGAAACAAAGGTGGTCAGAGAAAACGGTAAATCTGATGCTGGGGAAAAAACCAGGAGGCAAGAGATCGTAGCAGCTGTCGGCTTAATCTGCTCCCCCGTCCATCACCGGTGAATGGGCAAAACGTAGGAACTCGGCAACGGGAGAAGGAAAGGTGACAACATGGTGGGAGCAGCCCCGGCAGCCGGAGCCGAGGGAAGGCACAGGGGCGGGGGGGGGCAGCCTGCTGTGGCCCTGACCAGCCCCTCCCCAGGGCTGCGCCGCCCTGGCCTTCCTCTCTCCATTTCTGCCTGGGAGAAGCACGGCTGCTGAGGGCAGAAAGCTGAATTGTGCAACAGCCCACCAGACAGACATGGGGGCCAGGGCCAGCAGGGGCCTGGCAGGGCTAGAAGTGTGAGGTGTCGCCATGGGAGTGGAAGACACCTCCCCTGGCCAGTGGGCTGCTTGGCGAGGGCCACACAGCCCAGGCTGCAGGACAGGGTCCAGACTCCAAGGCTCCGACCCTGCCTCTGTAGGTCCAGGATGGAGCAGCCAGGCTCACCAGCTGTAGATGAGCAAAGAGAACATCCAGGCGGAGCTGCCTCCACACAGGGAAGATGCAGGGACCACAGGTGTACATGCAAGCTGAGCACAGGATGCACACAGGGGAGACTGGCCGACGGCTCAGATCCAGACCCAGGCTGTGTGGCCCCAGGCTGACAATGTAGAGGGGGTGTCTCTCCAAGGGGGAAAGATGTGTCTTCACCCCTGCCTCACCTTGTTCCAGCGGGAAGCAGCCATCAGTGCCAAGTGGAGACTTCGGAGGACGTCTTCCCCTTGCAGCAAGCAGAGATTTGGGAAGAAGACCCGTAGTCCTAACCATAAAACACTGGTAATCTGGGGTATGTTAAAATTAAGAGTTCTGTTCATGTGAAAGTATTATCGAAGAAGTAAAAACCAACATAGATGAGAGTACTCACAATACATATTTCTAACAAAGGACTCATAGCCAGAATATATTTTTAAAACACTCCTACTACTCAATAGAAAAAAATTTGACCTACTAGGAAAAATGGACAAAACACTGGACAGTGTACAGAAGAGGAAATCCACATAAACGCATGTAAAAGTGTCCAGTATCAGTCGCCATCAGAGAAATGCAATTCAAATTACACACGTTCCAAAACAGGCAGAATGAAAAGGAGAGCAAGCATGTGTTGGTGAGGACACAAGCCATCAGAACCATGTACTCTGCTGGTGGGAGTGTGAGCTGTAAGGTGTCTACTAAGCCAGACATGCATGAGCACACATGCACGCAGTTCTCAGCCCGTGCAGCTTTCTGCATATCCCAGCAGAAATGATACATGCCAGAGACATGTAGTGGGAATGTTCACAGCAGATCTTTTTTTAAAAAATTTTTTATTAAGGTATGATTGATGTACACTCTTATGAAGGTTTCACATAAAAAAACAATGTGGTTACTACATTTACCCATATTATCAAGTCCCCACCCACACCCCAATGCAGTCACTGTCCATCAATGCAGCAAAAGATGCCACAGATCCACTATGTGCCTTCTCTGTGCTACATTGTTCTCCCCGTGAACCCCCACACCATGTGTACTAAACATAATACCCCTCAGTCCCCTTCTCCCTCCCTCCCCACCCGCCCTCCCACACCCCTCCCCTTTGGTCACCACTAGTCCCTTCTTGGAGTCTCTGAGTCTCACAGCAGAACTATCTTAATAGAAACTGGAGACCACCAGGATGGCCATCCCAGCAGGCTGGATAAAGAAATAAATCATGGTATCTTCATGTAAGAAAACAGAATGAGAATATAATAACAGTCTCCTGAGAATAAATAGCCCACAACCATGCACAACAGGAGCGAGAACAGTAGTCACAAGCTCACGCTGTGCGATTCCGCTTGCACACACAACAGACAGGGCGACACCAACGACAGTAACGCCGAGGAGTGTGCAGGGTCCGGGGCCAGTGCTCCGTTTGGTGATCTGACTGCTGGGCACACAGGTGTGTCCAGCCGTGAGAGCTTCCGGGGCCATGCCGTGGCAGTATGTGTACCTTCCATGTGGCTGTTGGACTTCAGGAAAAGTTACAAAAAGAAAGAAAAAAAGATAACCCAGCCTCAGAACAGACCCAAGAACGGAAGGAAATTCACCCCAAGTACTTCATGCAAGAGAACAACTTGGTAAAAACATTAAGGTGGTAAAATAAGAGTTTAAAGAAGAGTTTTTTTTTTATGAAATGAATTTTTAAAAGAAGTTTTTAAAAACGTAAAAAAAGGGAAAAAATCAGAGTTCGAAAAATCGTTACTGAACTGATCAATGCTAGAAACAGTTTGCTAAACTAAAAATTACCAACAAATAGGAAAGGCTTGGAATAATCACAAAAATTAGAAGAGAGAGAAGCGCCCTCGGGACAGCTAACAGGTGGTCCCACGCAGGTGCCCTCCTGCCGCACCAACAGGCGCCATCGCGGCCGCCTGCGCTGGGGACGACCTGGCTGCCGCCGCCTCCCGGCCCAGGTCCCTGTCCGCCGCACCTTCCTCTCTCCCCGGCCCCTCTTCCCCGCTCGCGGCTACGGCTTCAGTCCTCAAACTTCGGGGCCCCGCCCGCTGCCTTCGGGCTCGGGCCGCGGCGGGCTCCCCTCCACCTGGCACCCCCTCTCCGTGCTTCCTCCGCCCCGGGTCGCACTCCGTAGGGTCACCCGGGTTCCTTGCTCTCCCAGGCCCGTCCCGCAGGGCAAGGAGGGTTCGGACGCCCTGGGAACCCCGGAGAGGCTTCCGGACTAGTCCTCTTGGGTCTCCTTCCCTCCGCTCCCGTCCGATCCCCGAGCGCGTCCCGTCCCGTCCGCCCGCCCGTGTCCTTTCCAAAAGCGTCTCGCGCGCGCCGGTCTCCCTGCGGGGACCACCCGGGGCAGCTCCGCCAGCCCTCCGCAAACCCCGGCTGCGCCGTCCCTGGCTCTCCTTCGCCTCCCTGTCACCCCAGGCGCGGGGACTCCAGCGCCTTGCCCAGCCGCCCGCTCCCGCCCGCGCAGAGGACGGAGGCCGCGCCGCCTGGGCTCCCCAGGTGTGGACCGGGCTCTGCGCGCGCCGGGTCCAGGCAGAGACAAGCAGGCCCTGAGAGCTCTGCCCAGCTCCTCCGGGCGTCCCCCGGCCCCGCTCGGCTATCCCTGCCCCGTTCCTCCGGGCGCGCTCCAGCCCCGCTGCTCCCCGCGGCCCCCGCTCCTCCCCCCGCCCCCGGGCTCCGCGCCCCCAGCTTCACCCCGCGCGGCACCGACCCCGCCCCCAGCCCCCCGGACTCTCCACCCCGGCTCCTCCCCGCTCCCCTTGCCCTGCCCCAGGCTCGCTCGTCCCCGCGACCCCCAATCTCCCAGCCCCGCGCGTTCCGCCCGCCCGGCCTGCGGTCACCCGTCGGGTGGCCGTACGGGACTCCGCCGAGCCGCCCTGCAGGGTTGCCAGGATCTCGCCCTTGCCCACGTCGCGTCGCCCACCAGCAGAACCTGAGCTGCAAGTAGTAGGCACGGACCCGGCTGCGCAGGGCACTCCTTGTGCCGCCACCGGCGCCGAGCCGGGCGAGCGCAGAGACCGTTATCTGCTCCCAACGGCCGCGCTTGCCCGGCGCGTGGGGAGCTGCCACTTAGCTGCTGCTGCTGACAGAGAGCAGCCCCGCCCCGTCCCTCCCCTCCCCTTCCCGCCCCTTCCCTCCATTGGAAGACAGCCGATGGTTGCACATGATCATTGGCTGAACTGCCCGTTCATCTCGCTCCCCCTCACTGGCCTCTCTTAGGTTACGGCAGCTGTAGTAGCCAATGGTGACCGGGGGCGATGATTGGGGGCGGGACCTAGAGCGAGGCGCAGGCCACGTCCAATGGAGGTCAGGGGCGTGTCAAACTGGCAGGGGCGGGGCCTTCGCTCGTTGGGGACGAGGCGGGGCTCTGATGGACTCCCCCAATCCTCGTGCGTCTCCGCGACCCGGCCCCGCCCCCCGCGCTTCCCCCAATCCTCGTGCGCCGTCGCGCCGTCGCTGGCGTTTCGCGCAGCGTGGAGCGAGCCGCGGGGTCAACATGGAGGAGCTGCTGCGGCGGGAGCTGGGTTGCAGCTTCGTCAAGGCCACGGGCCACTCGGGGGGCGGGTGCATTAGCCAGGGACAGACTTACGACACGGACAGAGGACGCGTGTTTGTGAAAGTGAACCCCAAGGCGGAGGTCAGGGTCGCAGCAGGCGGGAGCGGGAGGGTGGGGCGGACGGGGGTCCCCGCTTCCAGGTCTGGAATGGGAGCTGGGGGTTCCGGTCTGTGTCCAGGCGCCGAGTCCGGGGTCGTTGTTCGGGTCCCAGTTGGCGCGGCGGCCCGGCCTGGGGTCCTTGTCTAGGTCTGGTACTCGAGTGGCGGCTGGGTGTGGGCCCCTTGTCCAGGTCGTTTTGGGGGTCTGGGGTCCTTACGTCACCTAACTAGACAAACCTGGGCCGGCTACGAAAGCTGACACGAGGATGTAGTGAAAATGGGCGAGCGCCAGGCAGGTGGCTAACGTTTGAGGTCCGGAACTCCCTGTAGGGTTACAGGCAAGGGTTTCAAAGGCAGATTTATGGCAGAATTGCAGCTGGCGCCAGTCATCCGATGCTCGGTGGTGAGGCGCCGGGACTGAGGGATCTCAGCCTTCGGGCGTCTGGCTCCACCCAGCCTGGGGTCGGGGCGCGTGTGGTCAGCAGGCGGCCCACCTGGTGAGGGTCTAAGTTCCTGCAGAACACCTCAAGGACGCCTGAGGCGAGAGTTCACGTATGGCCTTGAGGGGGGCCCCGGAGTCCTTCACCTTGGCTTACAAACGCCCTTTCTCTTTCCCCTCGGAACCCCCGGTCCGGGCCCACAGCCCGCGCCATCACGGAGTGACTCGGGCTTGCTGTTAATGGGAAGTCTGGGGCCTCAGCAAAAGGGGGCTCCCTGTGCGGACACACTGGGCCTGGTCTGGGTCCCTGTCTGGCCCAGAGCCCGCCCCGCTCGTGGCCGCAGGGCGGTGGCACTGTGACCCATCGCTTCCTCAGGCTGTCGGGGCGGCTTAGCCCCGGGGAGGTCCGCGGACTCCGGCCCCGGCCGCCTTCGGGGCGCACGGGTGCGGTGGAGGGCTCCCCGTGGCTGACCTGGCCGCTGCTTCGAGGAAATCGTCGTGTTTGGCGAGTCTGAGCCCGGACAGGAAGCAGACTTGCAAAGATCAAACCCTTTGAGTCACTGAGAACAGCAGCCCCCCGCGGTCTGTGGGGGCGGCTGTGGCAGCGCGGCGCAGGTGGGGGTCTGGCCGTCTGGCTTTATTTCTCGCGGCTCCGGACGCTGGAGGTCCGAGGTGAGGGCGCCCTTCCGCGCTGCGGGGCTCCCCCGCGCACGGCGGGAGGGCGGGGACTCCGGGCCGTGGGGGTCCCTGACCCCGTCGGAGGCCGCTGTCCCCTGGAGCTTCATCACGGGGGCCTCCCGACACCGTCGCCTGGGAATGGGGGGACACGACGCTCCGCCCCCGCGGCGGCCTATCCGCTCTGTGTGAACTTCTCCAGGGCCCCGGGAGCCTCTGTGGAAGGGCTGACCTCGCCACCGCAGGCCCTGCAGGCCGGGAGCAGGGCTGCGGGTGCTGCGGTCACGCCCTGGCCGTGCCGTCGGCCGTCCGTGTCTTCCCAGACGGGAACCCTTCTTGCCTGATGTGGGATGCCCTTTCCCTGAAACCTCACCGTCTCTCAAGACGGCCTGCCTCCCTTCCCTGTGGCGTCGCCCTGAGCACCCTCCGCATCCATTTACCCCGAGCAGGGCTGCGTGGGGTGCCCCCTCCCTCCAGACAGGCTGGTTTCAGCGGACCTAGAAATTTATCCCAATACTAGAAGGCGCAGCCCCCTGCCACTCTGGGGCTGCAGAACGCAGGTCTCTGCCGAGAAGCGTAAAAAGCTGGTGTGCTGCGTCCGCAGCCAGAACAGGCTTGTTTGATCGCCACACCTGAGACATGCCCACCTAGAACCTTAGAGGCATTGTGCTCCCACGTTGCTTTCTGACAGGCCAGAAGAATGTTTGAAGGTGAGATGGCAGGTCTAGCTGCCATCCTGAGAACGGGCACGGTGAGAGTGCCCGCGCCCATCAAGGTCCTGGACGCGCCGGGAGGCGGCAGCATGCTAGTGATGGAACATGTGGACATGCGGGCTCTGAGCAGGTGTGTCTGGGCGCCTTCCCCTCTGGCTGGCTTTGTCTTCTCAGCGTTGCTTCATGCCTGAGGCTTGTACCCAGGAGCGTAATGTCCGGGATCTGACACGCATGTGTCACAGGTTGGGCGGAAGGTAAATGGAGGTGAGATGCAGGCTGGGAGAGGCCCTAAAATAATTAGGGCCTTCAGCACCCTCACTTCACCAGAACAGGTGTGTGTCCCCTGACCGGCTCCATGCGCCCACACTCCTGTGCCGCGTGTTCAGTGGCTGCCTTCTGGTTTCACAGCCATGCCGCCCAGCTTGGAGCCCAGCTCGCAGATCTACACCTGGAGAACCAGAAGCTTGGGGAGGTGCTCCGGAAGGAGGCCGGCACAGTGGGTATGGACTTTGGGCTTCAGGGACCCCGCCTAGGGGACGTTTAGCCAGTGTGGGCACGTGGACCAGGATCAGGCTGCGGCCACGTGAGGGTCAGCCCTGTGTTGATGCCGAAGGATGGAATGTCAGCCCCAGAGCTCTGCGTCTGGGGTGCAGCGAACACAGTGACGGGCACGATGTGTCTCAAGTGCATTTGAAAGGCAGAAGTGTGTCCTGAGCAGGAAACTCTCCTGTCCTGGTTCCTTCCACCTCCCTCCCCAGAAGAAGGCCTGTCAGCCTCTCTGGCTTCCTCTGTGGTGCCTTTCTGCTACACAGGCACGGGCAACGCTCCGGACGCCAGCCTCCCTTGTGCCTGCCCTTGCTGACACTTAGGTGGTGTTGGCGTCAAGGGTATCTTCCTGTATTTTCACCCCTTGGCATTTAATGAGCCATCTGTAGCCTGCGTGGTACCTAGTAGGCAGAGCGGCCACCACACCAGAACCAGGGGGCGGAGAAGCTGCTGTGCCAGGCAGACAAATCCCGCTGACTCCATCCTGGCCCTTCTAGGCCACATGTGCTCAGTCCCTCGGGTTTGCGGCTGGGGGGCTGCAGAGAAAGGAGACCATTTCCAAGCCCCACGGTTTATTTTTCACAGATGGCAGGCTCTGTGCTGGCCCGAACGCCATCCTCTCCCTGTGGGCTGCGGTTTTTTTCCCCTTTTACACATAGCACTGTTGCCCCTCTGAGCATGCCCTGGTGCCTCTCCTGGGAAGCGGTGGGAGTCCTGGGTTGTTAAGTCTGATGGAACAGGCTCTCTTCCCGGGTCCCGGGGGCTGGTGGAGAGCAGGGCCTTTGTGTCTGGACGAGGCCTCGGGGTGGGGAAAGGCAGGCTGAGGTCAGTGCTTGAGGCCCCCGGAGCTCCAGGAGTGGGCCCTGGGGCAGCGAGGGAGGGAGCTAGTCATCGTTCTTGTTTCCTTTTGCCTGCAAGGGAGAGGAAGCGGGCAGGCTGAGCGGCCCTTCGTGGACCAGTTTGGGTTTGACGTGGTGACGTGCTGTGGATACCTGCCCCAGGTGAGCGTTCACCTCCATTTCCCAGCCTGGCTGCTCAGACACAGCAGGGGGCACACCCTCTCCCTCTCCTGTGAAGTTTAGTACAAGTCTGCACCCTTTCTTCTCTGCTGACTTTTAAGTGGTCAATGAGATGCTTACCTACATGACATGCCAGGTGAGGTCAGAGAGCCAGAGAGGGATCAGCTGGCTAGGGTGCCGCGGGAGCTCAGAAGTGTGTAAAATAGACATGTGAAGACCTCTTATTTTAAATACAGGAAATTTCCAATCATAGATGACAATAATGGATTGTGACTTTCTTTTGGTGATTCTGGGTTTGGCTCTGCAGGGCATTTTGCCTGGGGGTTGTTCTGACGCAGACCAATGCAGAGCGGGTACGGTGGCTCTGCCCCCAGAGGGCAGGTGGCATCTCAGAAGTGGGAGAACTGAGTAGTCCAGAAAACTTCCAGGGACGTCCCGGTGGGCTTGGGGCACAGGACACACTGTTCAGATCTTGTATTCAGAATGTTGTAGAAGGTAGTCCTGGGTCCGTGTGGGGTGGGGAGTAGCTGCTGGCAGGGGTTGCCTGGTCCCACCTGCTCTGAGCTGCTTGGGTGCTTGGCTGGCTGCACGCCTTCCTCCATGCCCATCCTTGCCCTGCGTGCATGCACGTGCATGAGTGAGGGTGCGTGTGTGCATGCCATGCATGTGGGCATGGGCGTGCCGTGTGCATGCATGAGGGCACGTGTGTGCTCGCCGTGCACATGTGAGGGTGATGCTCTGCCTTCGGTGTCACATGCTGCCCCTGTGTTCTCCTCTCTTTGTGCTCACCTTGCTGCCCTCCTGATGGCCAGCACCTTGGCCTGGACAGCCTATCACGGGGTCCCTTTGAATGGGGCTCTGCAGGACTCCTCACATCACTCTCTGGTTGGGGGGGGCAGTGCTGGCTGATTGGGAGGGGCTGAAGCCAGGTCCTCTGGTCAGGGGGATAGTCAGAAAGGAGCCATGGGGTGGGGGGCCAGCCAGCTCTGGCCTCTGTGCCCCCTTATGAGTTGAGATTGAAAGAAAACGTCCTGGGCTCTCCAGAGCGGAGACCTTGCTGCTCTGCACTGGGGAGGGTCCCCTTGCTTCCCGCTCTCCCGGGGACAGATCTCAGGGCCCGGCAAGTCCACAGGGCACCAGGCCTCCCCAGCTGCCCCACACCCATCCTTGCAGAGGTGCCCCTCTGTGCATGGCCCCTTGGCCCCTCTGCCCTCAGCTCTGCTGTCCTTTGCTGCTGCACATGCAGGTGAACGACTGGCAGACGGACTGGGTCACGTTCTATGTCCGGCAGCGCATCCAACCCCAGATGGACCTGGTGGAGAAGGGGTCTGGGGACAGGGAGGCCCTGGAGCTCTGGTCTGCTTTGCAGGTGAGTGCAGCCCTGCCACGCCCTGCTGCCCCCTGTGAGGTTGGGTCTGTCCAGGAGGTGGGGGGGGCCCTCTGCCCACTTGAGCCAGGCAGTCCGGGTGTCTGCACCATGTCCACCTGGCTTGCGGAGCCCCTCCCAGGAAAGGGAGCCTCCTCCTACGTGCTGGTCTTCTCTGAGGCTGCGTCCCCTCTCTGCAGCTGCAGCTCCCTGGCCTGTTCCGTGACCTGGACATCGTGCCGGCCCTGCTCCACGGAGACCTCTGGGGAGGAAACGTGGCGGAGGACTCCTCCGGGCCCGTCATTTTTGATCCAGCATCTTTCTATGGGCACTCAGAGTACGAGCTGGCAATAGCTGGCATGTTTGGGGGCTTTAGCAGCCCCTTCTACTCTGCCTACCACCGCCACATCCCCAAGGCGTGTGGCTTTGAGAAGCGCCTCCGTTTGTATCAGCTCTTCCACTACCTGAACCACTGGAATCATTTCGGAGCGGGATACCGGGGCCCCGCCCTCAGCATCATGAGGAGTCTTGCCCGGTGAGCCACGCCCCGGACGGGCGCACCAGACCCTCGTGGCCGACTCCCCCCCCTTCCTCACACACCGTTTCTCTGGAGCAGTTCAGGCCTGCTTCCCAAACCCTGTAGGGTACGCAGTGTCTTGGAAGAGAGGTTTGTCACTGGAAGGCGTTTGTTTGATGAGGCTTCACTGTGGGAAAAAACTGCACTACAAGCAGGATGTGGATGGAGGGACCTGTGCGTGTGGGCTGAGTGGAAACACTCTGCCGCCCCCAAGGTGGGGAAGGGAGAGGTGGCGGGCATCCCTGCTGCAGAGGCCACCCCCAGCTCCCGTCTTGTCTCCGGGAACAACACATATTCAGGCTGCTGTTCTTGATGGGCAGGACTTGGGTCTGTCAGCTTCTTAGGGTGACCAGCCCCGAGAGCGCACACATTCCTTTACGTCATGGCTCGACCCGCTGCAGGCTGAGCGAACTAGAAGCCGGTTCTGGAGGTGCCCAAGGACCTTGGTGTCCCTGTGCCTGTCAGCCCCCATCGGCCTGCTGTTTGCTAAAGCTTGCCCCGCTGTCCTTCTACCATAATAAAAAGCCTTACACCAATGTCCTTCCCTCCTTCAGTGTTGCAGTGATGAGAAGTGTTTGTGAGTGGCGTCCATGATCATGAATGCTTTTGCATAAAAATTTCGGTAAACTCAACGGTTTCTAATTCAGTGTTTAACTTAGCCATTTGCTAAGAAATTTTCGCAATGTATAGTGGTGATAAATGGGTACAATTGTTTCTAAAAACAGTTTTTTTCTTGGCTTTGTTCAGTAAGAGCAGCACAGCTTCAGAATGAGGGTGGGTGCTGCCTAGAATGGATCTAACGCTCAGCACTGTTGGGTGGCCAGTTCGTGGCCCACCCCGAGACATTTGGCAGGACAGTGGAGGGAGGTGGAAAGTGGCTGAGGAGTCACAGGTTTGGGGAGGAAGCCAGCTGCTGGTGCCTACTTGCCTGTGCAGGGCTTGGCTGGGACCCAGTGGTCTCCAGGGCAGGGTCCTAGGAGGTTCTCTGCTTTTGTTCAGTGTAACAGCAGGGTGCCCTGAGGCCCAGCTGGGGCCTTGAGTTCTGTCTTCTGTGGGAAAGCAGAGGACTGTGACTTTTAAGAGCCTGTGGTTGTTCGGGTTTCAAACCCAGTAATTCTGAGACACCATTTGCCAAGATTTTAGCTCATTTCCTTTGACCCTGGGAAATGGGTGTTGTCTTAGGGAAAGATGCCACGAATGGGCACACGTGCTGCTGAGTGCCCTGTGTCATCAACATGGACCCAACTTCCAGGAGGGGTTTGAGTTCTGCGACTGAGACGGTGTGGGAGGCACAGCTCGGCCCCTCCTCTTCTGCAGTGGGTCAGACAGGAGCAGAGGGGTCAGTGGGCAGATGCTGGCTGGAGCGCATATCTGCTTAGTTAGAGGATCTTGAAGAAAGAGTCTCTGGCCCGTCCTGTGGCCCACGTGGACCTTGAGGAGGTGAGTGCCCTCCTGGCATTTGGAAACCACGAGTTGGTGATGGGAGCAGGTGCATTCTCTCCCTGCTGGGTTCTGAGAGGTGAGGCCGCCTCCCACAGGACGTGGCCACTCAACCTTCCCGCAAGAATCCCGTTGGGCGCTGTGCCAAGCGCCACGAGGGCTGACTGCGCCCGGCTCACCTGTGGGCCCAACCCTCCTCCGCCTCAGCAGTCCCGGCCTGAGAGGTACTCACAGACCTCCAGAGGGAGCCGGCCATGGGGGGCCGGATGCGGGGGTCACGGAGGTGGCCGCACCCTAGCTGGAGAGCAGGGCCCTGGCACGGGCTTTTGTGGTGCAGTGTTCACCAGCTTTTTAAATTTTGCTGTTTGTTGTAATCTCTCATTCTGAAATAGCTACCTTGGTGACTCATTTTGTATTCATAATTTCTAGTGCATATTTTTATATAAAGGTTTGCCAGAGGCTCCTGGGCTCACCAGAGTTGCTGCTCGGGGACTCTGTTCCGAGGAAGCCCCTGGATGTGCCTCCTGAGCGTGAGTCTCCCCGTGGGAGGCGGCAGAGGTGGAGTGAGATGGGGTTTCCGTGTAGAGGTGTACTGCCAAGGGACAGTCGTATGGCGTGTCCTGCCAGCAGCCGGCCTCCTGCCCTTGAGAGTGGCGCCCAACATCTGAAACAGTGGAGGCCGTGGCTGGACCCTGGGGGCTCTGGACGCAGCTCCCGGCCTCCGACGAGAAGAGCTGGGGCAGCTGTGAGCCTGAGCAGGGCTTCGGGGGCCGGAGGCCTCGGGCGGTGGCTGCTGACCTGGGGGTGGACCCAGCCCTCTGGGTGGGGGTCGGTGTACTTATTTCTTACTGCAAATGGGATATCGAATCAAAACACCTCGTTCTGTGCTCCTGTCAGGTATCAACCTTCCCAGGGAAGTAAGTCTTTCGGTAACTGGGAATTAGCTTTCCACCCCAGAGTGGCTTATTATGCAACCTTCTCAGGGAAGTAGACCTGAAATAGGCTTTTCTGCCTGAAACGGAGGGTGTGGCGTCCTCGGACACCTTCGAGCCGGGTTGTCCCTGTCCAGCCGACACTCCACTCTGACCCTGCCACCCCCCAGGTGTTCAAACATGTTTCAGGCCATTTGCTGTCCCGCCGAGGGGCCTGGCCTGCTCCGCCCTGCATTTTTGCCCTGTGTGGGGTCTTGTGTGCAGGGGCTGAGCGGGTCCCTCCTCATCATTAAATTCCACGTACCTCACTTGCGTTTCCCTTGGTCCCCATATCCCGCTCACTTTCCCACCCTCCAGTCTAACTTGCTGCTTCTGACCCGGGAGCCCCGTAACCGAGGGGGTGCAGCTGGGCGGCTCTCCGGCAGGGGGTACGGCTCCTCCGGGCTGGGGTTTTGAGGTCTCTTTGAGGCTCCTCCTCGATTTGTGGCTCAAGAGCCAGGCTCAGACATCAGAGAGGGCACTCTTGTGAAGAGGCCCCGACCCCGTGGGTGCCCCCAACATAAAAGCCAAGTGTGCAAGTGGGTGTGTCTTGCTGTGCTGAGCCCCCATGCCAGTGGGTGTGAGCATGTGTAGGGTGAGTGGAAGTTCTCACCCAGAATTTCCAGAATCTCCCGCTTGGCCTTAGTCCGCTCACATACCAATGATGTTTACCACTTCAGAGCCTGGATCTGGGGCAAGGGGTGGAGAGAAAACGGCCATTCTCTCCTTCCCTCTGTTCCTGGTGCCTAACTGGTCTGGTGCTGGTCACCAGGGACCTGCCTGTGTCGTTCTCCCAGGAAGGGAGCTCACTGTTGCAGGGGAGGGAGCTGGTCTGCTCAAGGGAGCGCACCAGGGGAGGCTGGGGGAGACACTGAGCTGCAAGCAACGGGCCCTTTAACCAACCCAGCCCGCCCTTTCCCTTGTCCTCCTCCAGTTTCGTCTGGTTCATAGGGAGCTGGCCCTGGGTGGGGAGCACTCTGCCTCCTGGAGCCACACCGTTTGGCCCTGCTGCCCCGCGTCGACCTGCCCTCCGGGGCACCCTGCTGTCCTGACCGGGCGCCTGCAGGGAATGTGCCCAGTGGAGGCGGGCAAGACTCTGTTAATGTGATGATGTTTGTGATTCAGGGGGAATCTGAATAACTACAGCCAAAACAAGGAAGGAAAATGCAAAATGCAAGTTCTGAAAGAAGTTCAATTTGCTGTGGAGAACAGGGTACTGACCCCCTGGAAGGTGGTACCACCTTGCTCCAAACAGACAGGAAGTTAACAAGCTTCAAGCTCCTCCGCTGTACCACACAAGGGTTGGCATCTGCGAGGGACCCAGAGGGTTAGGCACCGGAAAGCCCTTGGGGCTCTGGGCCCTCCACCCAGTGTAATGGGAATGAGCTGCACTTGGAGCCATAGGACCAGCACAAGGGGCCATCTTAGATGAGGCCCCCGACCTTTGGAGCCCTCATTCATAAAGTGGACTGCTGAGGCTCAGCACCGTCAGCTGCATGGCACCCCACTCTGGGGATACTTTCTCTTTCCTCCCTGTGAAGTTTGCTTCCAAATCTCTTGCCTGAGAACTGGCCTCCCTGCCGGGGTTTCCTCCTGGGCAGAAGCATGTGGACCCGCTGAGTATGTTCAGAGCCGCAGTCAGCATGGTGAAGACTTGTGGGCTTAGAAAAGCAGCCAGTTTATAGCCATCTGAATTTTGAAGGGGTGGCAGGATCCTCTCCCAAGGGCAGCCATCAGCCTGAACAGTGGGGCCCCAGCTCCCCATGGAGCCCAGGATGGCTGACTTGTCTTGACACCAGACACGGTCACAGTCCCTGAGGGTGCCAGGGGGCAGCCAGGGCCTCATACCCAAGCCCCCACCCTGGCTGCCTCATTCCAGACAGATTCTAGCTGCTGTGCTGGCCTTGGGGCCCGTTTCTGAGCAGTGTTACAAGTTCCCCGAGTCCTTCCCGGCTGTGGGCTGTGTTCCTTCTGGTGCCGCTGGACTCTGTGTCCACGGTAAGGGGTCTGAGTGAGCAAGAGCATTCTCCCTCTGCATGGGACCTCTTCAGCATGGCGGTCTGTCCCACTGCCAGACCTGTACCTCCAGACACGTCTGAGACCCAAGGACTCCTCCGGTCACAGTCCTGGGGTTGAGGCCCAGCTGAGGCTGAGAGGCGCCTGTTGTACCCCTGAAGCTGTAATTCTAGCTCTTGGGGAGCCAGGAGAATCAAGACCAGCTGTGGTGGGGAAGGACCCACAGCTCACGGGCTGCCTGCACAGGCCTGAGTCCTGCCTTCCAGCTGAGCTCAAACCCAACCGGTGCAGGTCTGGGATGAGGGGACTGGTTCACACTGTCAAGGTTCTCTCTTCGCAGGTGTCTTCATCAGCAGAACCCAGGTAAGGTTCTGCACTTGAGCCCAGGTATGCCCAGACCCACAGGGGGCCAGGGAGGAACCTCAGTGCCTGGGGAGGTGCCACAGCCAGGCTGCCATCTGCTACGCTCAGAGCCTGCATGGATAAACCACATCCGTGGCCTGAAGGGTGCACTCCAGCGTCTCCCTAGGGGGCCCAGAGAGGGCAGGAGGGCTGGGCTCAATGCCTGGCCCCAGAAGCTTTAGGACACACTGCAGGCCAACGATTTAGAATTCCCAAAGAGAATGGACGAAGCGAGGTTGTAAAGAAAGAGCTGAGGACAAGTCGGAGGGGTTAGAGGACCTGCATTTCCATCCTGAAACGGCCCACTAGTGCTGCCCAGGGAGGGCACCACACTACCCAGGCACCTCCCTGGGGGCTGTCAGATGCTAGTGCCCCATTCGCAGCCTGGAGTCCACACCCGGCCAGATGTCATTGAGAATAAAGACTGTCTGGGAGAATATATTCATAAACAACTCATCTGATAAAGGGTTAACATCCAAAATATATAAAGAACTCATACACCTCAACACCCAAAAAAGAAATAACCTGATAAAAAAATGGGCAGTGGACCTGAACAGACACTTCTCCAAAGAAGAAATACGGATGGCTGTTAGGCCCATGTAAAGATGCTCCACATCGCTAGTCATCAGGGAAATGCAAATTAGAACCACAATGAGATATCACCTCACACCAGTAAGGATGGCCACCATCCAAAAGACAGACAACAGCAAATGTTGGCAGGGATGTGGAGAAAGGGGAACCCTCCTGCACTGCTGGGGGGAATGTAAGCTAGTTCGACCATTGTGGAAAGCAATATGGAGGTTCCTCACAAAACTCAAAATAGAAATACCATTTGACCCAGGAATTCCACTCCTAGGAATTCAAATCCCAGATTTGAAAAGACAGATGCACCCCTATGTTTATTCCAGCAGTATTTACAATAGCCAAGAAATGGAAGCAACTTAAGTGTCCATCAGGAGATGAATGGATGAAGAAGAGGTGGTGGTACATATACACAAGGGAATATTATTCAGCCATAAAAAGAAAAGAAATCTTGCCATTTGCAACAACATGGATGGAGCTAGAGGGTATCATGCTTAGTGAAATAAGCCAGGTGGAGAAAGACAAATGCCAAATGATTTTACATATTTGCTGAAGATAAAAACAAAGCAAAACAGAAGGAACAAAACAGCAGTATAGACACTGCCAAGTGACTGATGGTTACCAAGGGGAGGGGAGTGGGCGGGGGCAGGGGGCTGTTGAACTACTGTCATGTACATTTGATAAAGGCAAAAGGTAAATAAGTAAAGACTCTGCTCGCGTGGAGAGCTGGATTGGCCTGTCGGGAGTCCTTCCTCAGGGTGCAGTAGGGGGTGCGCTTCCCGAGACAGAAAAAAAGGCTGGGAGGCTGGACACGTGGAGAAGAGCTAGGAGGAAGGAGACAATGCCCTTTCCACGGGTGGACACAGCTGCTCTCCTGCAATGGCCTGTGCATAGGCACGTGTATGCATGTAGGCACGCCTGTGTGCACCCGGGCATGTGTGTTGGAACCCCTTTCCTAGGTCGCTGCTCTCCATTATTAGGAGTCCCTCTGGGGTGGGATCAGTGGCTTGGTATCAGCCCCAGAGCAGTACCCCCTCTATCTCTGATGGGCACTGGGGACCCTGATGAGCAAACCCGCAGTGTAAGACCTAGTCGGCTCTGTGACCTGTGTCCCAGGGAGAGCCAGGTGTCCCCTGGACTGTGTCCTGTGTCCCTCTGGGTGGGCGGGGTCTGAGCAGAGGTGGTCAGGCCCTACCGCCTCAGGGTTTGACCTCAGAGAGTGGGGTGGGGTGGGGTGGGGTGGAGTGGGCCGGGCCCACCCTGGGTTATCCAGACACACCGGCCATGGGGACCCATGCGGAGGGCGCCGCCCCGCCTCTGTCCCTATCAGAGACGGCCTCCCGCTCCCGGGGCGGGGTGCGCCTGGCCTGAGCCCCCGCTGGAGAGGACAGCGAGGGGGCTGGCCGGGAGGCGGGGCCGGCGCCGAAGCCGCAGGCCACGCGCACTGGCGCCTCCCCCGCGGGCAGCGGCCTTGGCAGCGGTGAGCTTGCGCCCCGGGCCCCCCACTGTTCCCGACCCGCGCTTCGGGTCCCGGGCCCCCACCCATGGAGCAGCTGCTGCGCGCCGAGCTGCGCACCGCGACCCTGCGGGCCTTCGGGAGCCCCGGCGGCGGCTGCATCAGCGAGGGGCGCGCCTACGACACGGACACGGGCCCCGTGTTCGTCAAGGTCAACCACAGGACGCAGGTGCGCCCCCCGCAATCCCCGGCCCGAGCCGACCCCGCGGGAGCTGGGGGAGGGGCGCGGGGCGCGGGTCCAGGGCCGCCCCTTCCCGCCTGGCATCGCCGCCCCGGGCAGCTCCCGGCCTTGCGGAGCCGGACCTGCAGGGCGGGCGGGCCCAATTCCTCTGTGTGGGGTGCCCGGGGCTTGGCCGCTGCAGGATTAATGCGGTTCCTTTTGCTGGACGCACAGGAGACTCCGCTGCTTGTTTCCTCCGCCCGTCAGGCGTGGGGTGGTTGCCCAGCTCTGGGCCCCGAGCCCTGCAGCCTGTGGGTCCTCAGCGGTGGAGGAGGCGGGGACGGCGACAGACCCCCCAGCCCAGGCTCAGGCTAGGAGGCTCTCTTGCGTGTGTTTGGGCCTTGTTTCCATCCCTTGCTCGATATATTGCTGCTAAATATCTAAGGGAAATAGCAATGCTTCACCAGTGAGGGAGTTAGGCAGCCACAGTGAGTGGGCCCAGGTGCTAAGGACAGCGCCCTGCCCGCCCGCTGTGAGGTGCAGCAGTGGTGGGCGTGGGAGGACTCCGAGTGACCCTCCGTGCGGCTCTGCCATCTGGGATGAAGGAGGGGTTGGGGGTCCAGCTCTCCTGCTCTGGCTGCCCAGGGACCCACTCAGGAACACGATTTCAGAACCCAAACCCCTCAGAATGATAAGCCCACTCACCGGGAGGTGGCGCTGGGGTCAGGGTTCGTACTGGTCCTTGAAAGCTCCTCCGGGCTGGGGCACCCCCCTTGCTCAGAGCTGGCACACAGCAGATCAGCAGCGCCTTCACTGGGAGGGAGCAGGTGACAGTCTGAAGCCCGGGGTTCTTTGCCTCTTTGTGCTTGGGGGCTCGCCCTTGGGCATGGCTGGGACCGCAGGATGCCCGCCAGCTCTGGATGCCAGCCCCCCACCCCCCCACCGCAGGTGTGGTGACATTCTTTTCCTGTGTGTAAATAGATGCTGTGGTCTCGGTCAGGAGGTGTGATTTTGTAGCCACAAGTATTCACAAACCCTATCAATAGACACGTTTTTACCTAAGGGATGGCATACCTAAGGTGAGAGTTCACCTAATTCAAAATTGGATATTTGTGGGAAATGGTTCAGAAGCAGGAAGGCCCCTAGATAGTGGAGGCCGCTTTGGGGAGTGGCCCGCCTGCTTCCTGGCAGTGTGGGCGGCTCCTCCCTGGCCCCCAGACCCTGCTGGGAGTTTGTCTCTGGGGGTTCCCTCCCAGCCCCGCCTTCCCTGCCCCGTCACTTTGGCATCCCATCCCATGCCACCCTATGCTACAATGTCCTCCGTTGCTCTGATTTCCTGAGGCACTAGGGTGGGCAGGTAACCTGGAAGGGGATCAGGCCCACCCCCAGTCTGTCCACTAACCTGCATTTCCTGGCACCCCACTGTACCCCCAGCACCTTTCCTTGCTTCTGTGCTTCCTCACCTCTCAGAGCTCACCGAGGGGTGTCAGTATCCTACCCACCCTTAGCCTCAGGTGCAGCCTCACTCTTGCAGCTCCTCCCTGTCTGAAGGGGGCCACATGGCACCCCAACTCTTTGAAAGGCCATCGCCTCGCTTCCCAGCCAGTTCTCAGTGACCAAAGGTCCTGGGCGCTTGTGATCCCACTCGGTGGCTTCTGTCCGGGGCTGCGAGCCCACAGCCGCTGCGCAGGCCCCAGTTGGAGTCTGAGCTCAGAGCGGTTTTCCGGATGCAGGCCCAGCAGATGTTCGCAGGGGAGATGGCGAGCCTGGAGGCGCTCCGGAGCACCGGTGTGGTGCGGGTGCCTCGGCCCATCAAGCTGATCACCCTGCCGGGAAGTGGGGCTGTCTTTGTGATGGAGTACCTGAAGATGAGGAGTCTGAGCAGGTGTGTGCATGTGGGAGGGAGGGAGGGGGAGAGAAGGAGGGGGTCAGGAGGGCACATGCGGGCAGAGGCTGAGTCGCACCCCGCCGCCCAGCAGTTTCACAGAGATAAGGCTCTGAGTCTGGTTTCGGGCCACTCTGGCCCTGCCGAAGCTGCAGCAAGTAAATGTGTTGACCGTCCCTTGCCTGCGCTTCACATGAGCTCGACTTGGGCAGATCAAGGTCTCATCCAGCAACTTCCTGAAGTCCTCGAGTTTTTCTCTAATATTCAGTCATGTTCATTCATTGCTAAGAAAATTGTTTCCTGCCTCCTATAAGGAAGATATGAAGCACCCACAATGGCCGCTGCTAACAGTTTAGTCTGATTATCATCTGTCTTTTTCTTATATGTGATTTACATTTGTTTTCACAAAAAGTAGGAGCTGGCTTTTCCCTTAACATTACTTTTTGAGCTTTTGCCACTTAATTCCCAGTACCTCCTAAGGCTTCTGTTGAAACACCCGCCTGTCCTGTTCTGGTGAGTTTATGCTATTTTGGGTTTGGAAAGGGCCATTGCCTGCAGATTGTTTTTCACTTTTTAAAGAATGGAGCATAGTGTTAAAGGTATTTAAAACATTTCTGGAAATGGAACATGCCAGCTGTTGTTATTTTTTATTTAATTGGCTACAATTCTATTTTCCTCAGTCACGCATCAAAACTTGGAGAGCAGATGGCAGATTTGCACCTTTACAACCAGAAGCTCAGGGACAAGTCGAGGGAGCAGGAGAACACAGTGGGTACGTCCCGTTGCCTTTGCGCACCCTTGACCCAGGGGGCCCTGCCCTGGACTGACACTCACGGTGACCTTTCAGTGACAGTGGAATTGCACGCCGTCTCCCTTCACACTGAAGCACGGAAATGAGATCGTTACAGGAGAATTTTGATGGAGCTGGTAGAATTAGTTCATGACCCCTTTTGTACGCAGCCCTGCTGTCCAGTGTGCTTGAGGCAGGAATGTCCTAGCTGCCCCAGATGTTGTCCAATTGCTGCTCATGCAGTGCCTCCTCGGACCACCCACATATCAGCAGGGCAGCTGAGGCATTAAGAGAGAGACAGCAGCTCTTTGTGTTGACAGGCTGGGGGGCTGAGGGTGCAGAGCCCCAGCACGTGACCAAGTTCGGCTTCCACACGGTGACCTGCTGTGGCTTCATCCCACAGGTGAGTGCCTGGGTGAGGACTAGCCTGCTCGGTTGATGGCCGTTCTGGTGCCCCAGAGCTGGTCACCTCTCCCCACGTATGTGATAGAGGGCCAGGAAGATTGAGCACCTGGTGCCTGACAGCAGAATGTGAGCCCTGAGGCCTGGGACAGGGAGGGCAGATGGAGGGGGTCACTGAGCAGAGCTCGGAGGGAGGCAGACAGAGGAAACAGCAGGTGCAAGGGCAATATTGCGGGAGGGAGGACGATGAGTGTGGGGCCTGATGGGCGTGGGGAGGCAGCATACGAGGTCACGGATTAAGCCCTGCTCACTCAGCCCAGGCCTTTAAAATGTATTAGTACTATTGAGATGTAGTTCTCATGATCTAAACACCACTGTTTTAAAGTGTACACTTCAGTGGATTTCGGTACAGTCACAATGTTGTGCATTTTCATCCCCCTGAAAAGAAGCTCTGTGCCCACTGGTAGTCACCTCCCATTCTCTCTGCCCTCAGCCATTGGTGGCCGCTAATCTCTTTCAGTCTCTGTGGACTTCTGCTATGAGTGGACTTGGAGAATAGACAGCCTTTTGTGTCTCTCCCTGGTGTGGGTGGAGGGCACTCCTCCCAGTTTGGGGTCACGTGGGACGAGACCCTTGTGAAACCTGATGCAGATGTAGGGATCCCAGCCAAGGGGCAGCCCTCACATCTGGGGTCCCTAGCACTGGACACAGGTTACCTGGCAGAGGGGCTCCTGTGTCATACGCCTGTTGGGGCCCATAGCCAGCATAGTCATACTGGTCCCAGGCAAGTGTGGCCGAACGCGGCTTGTCCTGCATTAGATGTTGAGTTTAAGGGCTGTGGGGTCTCCAAAGACTTGATTGACCTAGGATGTGGGTTCTCAAGAACTGGGGAATGAAGTCACACACAGAGCCCCAAGGTATGAAGCCGATGAGAATGGGGCGAGGGACACAGGTGGCTCCTGAGTGCCCCTTCAGACTCCAGGATTGTTGAAGCAGCTTAGGTTGGCTGAAGCCCAGCCAGGAAGGGCCGAGGGGCTATGAGGACGTGTTGCCCCCATGCACCATGACAAGATGTTCTGGGTGTGGCACCTGGGACCAGCCTGAAGCTCTGTGGGAGGGCTGAGATGGCCCTGGGGGGCTGTGGCCACTGGTAGGGCCACCCTGAGCATGGGCAGCGGGCTTCTTGGCCACCAGGTGCGGTGAGCCCCTTGAGGCCAAGTTTTGTGCACGGCCACACCCAGGGCATGTGTCTGAGTGCTGTGTCCCACTCCACTCGCCCCGTTGCCATGTGGCGGGTAAGGTTATTGGCCCGACTGATTGATGAGGACACTGGCATGCAGAGAAGCCAGGTGACACCCTGAGGTCATGCACTCAGGAAGTGGAGGGACTGGGATCTGACCCACAGTCCCACTGCAAGGCATGGGCTCTTCCTGCCACACACCCCACCCCGTCACAGTGGGGGCTGGGGCCTCCCAGGTGGCCCCCTTCGGGTGGCTCAGGGAAGGCCACATCTTTCTGTGGGTGAGGGGGTCATGGCCCTTCTGTCCAGGGGAGGGTTTGGGCTAGTCAGTGCCGGTCTGCAGCTCCCAGCACTCAGTCTGTGTCCCTCATGACCTGGTTGTCCAGAAGGAAGACAGAGCCTGACAGTGGGGCCTGGGCAGGCAGATGGGGAACAAGGGGATACAGCCTCAGGCTGTTTGGGGAGAGTCCCCTACCTGCCCTTGCGGTGCACCCGGCACCACGGGCTGAACCCAGGGGCTGAGCGACCAAGGCACCAGCACGGGGAATGCTTCCATGCTGGGAATGCTGATCGGTCTGCAGGTCACTGGGAGGGTACTCTCAGAACTTCCCTTCCCTAAGGAGATTCACAGAGGCATCCAGTGTATAAAATAAGCTTTGCATCTGCATCTTTTTTAGAAAAAACAACTAATGAAGGTATGATCGACATAAACTGCACCTATTTTAGGTGTACAACTTGGTAAGGTGTGACGTATGTACACACCCGGGAAACTATCACTACTGTTGGGACAAAGAGTTTATCTGTCACCCCAAAGCATCCTTGTGTCCTCTTGTCATCATCTCCTCCACCTGCCCTTCCCTGACCCTGGCCCCCACTGGTCTGCTTTCTGTCACTACAGATAAGTTTGCATTTTGTGGAGTTTAATGTGAGTGGAATCACATGGTATGTACTTTTTCCTGGCTTCTTTCAGTATAATCGTTTCAGTTTTCATCCCCATTATTCCGTGCATCAGGCGTGTGCTCCACTGTATGATAAACCAGTCTGTTGTCCACTGCCTGTGGGTGGACATCTGTGGTGTGGTCAGGGTTTGCTCTCACAAGTAAAGCTGCTACAAACCCTCACGTACAAGAGTTTGTGTGAACAGATGCTTCCATTTGTCTTGGGTAAAATAGCTAGGAGGGAAATGACTAGGTCATATGCTAGGTTCATATTTAACTTTTAAAGAAACTGTGAAAATATTTTCCAAAGTGGTTGTACTATTTTACTTTCCCACCAGCAGTGTAGGAGAGCCCCAGTTCCTCCACACCCTTGCACACTTAAAAAAAAAAATTAAATCCTAGTGAATGTGAAGCTGTATCTCACTGAGGTTCTGTTTTTCCTGATGACTAATCATGTGGAGCATCAGTTTGTTTATTTGCCACATATTAGGTTCATACACACTTATGATTATTATGTTCTCTTTATCAGTTGAGCCCTTTTCTGTGAAATGTCTTTCTTTGTACTTGGTGACACTCTTTGCTGTGAAATCTACTTTGTCTGATGTTCGTATAGTCATTCTAGCTTACATTTGACTAGTGTTAGTGTGGTGTATCCTTTCAACCTTTTAACCTAATTTCTGTTTTTATACGTAAAGTGCATTTCTTGTACACAGCTTGTAACCAGGTCTTGCTTGAATTTTTCAGCCTGTCAATCTCTGTCATTTACCTGGGGTATTTAAACCATTTGCACTTAATGTACTTATTGATATGGTTAGGTTTGCATCCATCATCTTGCTATTTGTTTTTTGTTTGTCCTGTCTGTTCTCCGTTTCCCTTGTTCTCCTTTATCTGCCCTTTTTGGACTGAGTGCTTGTAGTGATTCCATCTTACTCCTTTGTTGGCTGGCTGTGATATTAACTGAGTTCTTTTAGAGGTTGCTCTAGGGTTTAGGCAGGCTCCCATATAACTGTCCTGTGACCCCTGTCTGAAGTGCCAACCTCCTGTCCCTTTGTTGCCCAGGTGAATGAGTGGCAGGACAACTGGGTGACATTCTTCACCCGACACCGGCTCCAGGCACAGCTGGACCTCATTGAGAAGGACTATGCTGACCGAGAGGCACGTGAACTCTGGTCACAGCTACAGGTGGGCACAGTGGGAGGGGCGAGTCCACCTCTTTGTTGGGGCCCTCTGGTAGAAATGAGCGCGAGTAGGGACCCCTAAGCCTTGGAGCAGAGCTGGTCATGTTGTGGACACGTGTCTGACTGTCGGCCTGACGGGGAAACTGGGGAGGGAGTGGGACACGAGGACACTTGGCCCCTGAGTGCAGTAGGTCATCTGGTACTTAAGTTCAGACTTTGCCCATGTGTAACACAGGTGCCTGGCTCATAATGGAGGCATTTACTGTTACTTTCTTGTCCACTCTTACTCTGCCAAAGCATGAATGTTTTGCCTCTTAAAACACATGCAGGTAGCAGATGCCCCAGAGTGACTGGTTTCAAAATATAACTCTTAAAATGTTAAAAACAGAATTTGCCTATCAATCCATGGTGAGAATGCAGCCAAAAAATTTTACTTAACTCATTAATGAAGTAACCAGAAGGATACAAAAGAGGTGCAGGCACACACGTGCTGGGTGGAGAAGGCATGCCGAATCACACGCAAGACCCCACTCAGGTTAGGCGAGGACAGTCACTCCAGAAGAGCTGAATCATTGGTGTTGCATTGCTTCTGGACCCAGATTAGTTGTCAATAGTAAGATGAAGCTGCATCTCCTGGAGCCAGAAGGCCCTTATCTAGGTTTGGTAGGTAGTGCTGTGGGTGGACCCTGAACGAACAGGAGACCATCTTTGCCTTATTCCACATACCGGATGAGGGGTCTAAGGCTCATGGCTCTAGGTATGGTAACTATTTTCTCAGGTGAAGATTCCGAATCTGTTTTGTGGCACAGAGATTGTCCCTGCCCTTCTTCACGGGGATCTCTGGTCGGGAAACGTGGGTGAGGACGACTCTGGGCCCATTGTGTATGACCCCGCGTCCTTCTATGGCCATTCTGAGTTTGAACTGGCGATCGCCTTGATGTTCGGGGGCTTCCCCAGGCCCTTCTTCACTGCCTACCACCGCAAGGTCCCCAAGGCCCCTGGGTTTGACAAGCGCCTGCTGCTCTACCAGCTCTTCAACTACCTGAACCACTGGAACCACTTCGGGCGGGAGTACAGGTCCCCGTCCCTGGGCACCATGAGGAAGCTTCTCAAGTAGCCGCCAGCCCACCTGCTCAGCAGGTACCTAGGGCAGCTCTGCCACAGGCAGCTCCGGGCACTAATAAAGTCAGGGGGCTTCAAGGATGGGACTGCTGTGTCTGCTTCACCTGCACTTCTGCCCTCCATGCTTTTGGGCCAGTTTGCAGAGGGCCCAAGGCACCCAGTTGCTTCCAGCAGGCTCCTTTACTTGCGTGGGGGGAAATGTGGAGTCTGGACGTTTTCAGAAAGTGCTATAGAGACACACGTATCTGGGGCCTCCTTAGGCAGGAGCTGGTGTCACAGACCCCTGTGAACTCAGCGCTCCGGTTTCTGGCTGAAGTAGAGGTGGGGACCCCGAGATGGGCCCCACTCTTGAGTGGCGCCTGTGGGGCTGAGTGGGCCTCAGAGTTCACCCTCCCTGGGGTGGGGTGGATGGAAGGGCCCTGATGTGGGCACGTGGTATTTCGGCTGCACTCCAGCCGGCGTGCTTTCCGCTGGGCCAAGAGGTGGGTGCGGGACAGCCCAGGGCAGTGGGGTGTGTCCAGGGCGGGCCGTCTGGGTGTCCAGGGTGGGCAGGCTGTCCGGGGAGGCAAGGGTGGCCGGCGTGCCCGGGATGTCAGGGCTGTCTTCGTTGGTGGGGTTGGTTGGCCCTGGGCAGGTGGGGTCTGGGGGAACTGCAGCACCCACACAGGAGTCACAAAGATGGGAGGCCATAATGATCAACACTAACCCAGACCCTAACCCGTACCCTCGCCCCAACCCCACACACGCCTGACCCCGCCCCGCCCCAATACCTGGTCCCCACCCCCGCCCACCCACGGGCCCCTGCCCCGCCCCACCCCACCCACCCGCTAAATCCCAGGCCCC